AAAAAAAAAAAAATTCTGCTCTCCAACAAGGAACTTGTGTGAACATATCCGAGCGACTTTCAATGGACTCGCAGTGGGAACAGATCCTTTAGTGGCCGACTCGTTTCTTTCCATGTCACTTTTTAGCCGAGTCTCAGGCCAAACAAGTCGGATCAATTTTTTTTAAACGTGTTTGTTTTTACAGCGTGGGACCAGCGCCTGACATCCTGGGATTTTAAAGACTTCTCAGACAGATTCCCTCAACCCCTTTCTTCCCCCCCAACCCCCTGCAGGGATTTATTTTTTTAAGTTGATGCTGGAAGGGCCTGTAAATTAAAATGTATAATTTCAACAAAAATTAAAACTGTTTTAGCTCATTCTGAATGAGGTAAATGCTCTGTGGGTTCAGTTGTTCCGTTTTCTGCTTCCAGGTTTGTTGAGAACATAAGATTTCATCTTCCGATCAGGTAGCGGACGTTGTGATGTAGTTTCACTCGACTCAAGATCTGTTTCAAAGATTTATTTCATTTCCAAAAAAGCTGTGCGAGTGAGGTGTTTCAGTCTAAAGGAAAACCAGATCACGTCAGGAATCCTCGGGACGCTTTCAGGACAGGCAGACTGGTTCCGTATTTTTGGAGCAGATCTTTGGCCTGTTGTCGAAGGACGTCTGAAACAGAAGACGACTTGTCGAGATGCAAGAGAACAAGGCAACATTCCACCACATCTGGACGAGGAAACATCTGCAAGACAAAAAAAAAAAATCCATAGGCATTGTCCATTTCTTGGAATTGTTTGTATCCAGACTTGCCAACCAACTTTAATTACCTTGATTGTGTTGGGAATGTTTTCTAGGGTCTGTTGGAGTTTGGACATCTTTGAGGACAAAGAAAGGAAAGTTTCCTCCTCCTCAGATCTGCATAAAAAGGAAGGAAACATCAGGAAGAAGAGCAACAGTCACTTTGGTCTGAAATGTTCCAAAGAATTTGACTAAAAGACGAACATTAAGTAAAAGTAAAACCAGCTCCGCCATACAAGTGTTATTACATCTAGGGCTAGAACTTTTAAAAAGACAGTAAGCTTAACATCAGACTTAACCCAGCTGCTGAAATGTACAAATATGAGGCACAGCTTAATGAAACGTGAAACCTGATGAGGAAATTTAGACCTTTTTATGGCATTTTAAGAGCCACTTCTCCAGATAAAGAAAATGGAAATAAGCGACGACAATCCTGACCCTTGCTCAACGTCTGAGGTTGCTGTCTGAGACTGACTGCCTTCCTGTTGGTTCCCAGAGTCCGTCCGTCCATCCTGGACCCGGCTGTGCTGCAGAACCATGGTGGACAGTCGCTCCTGGGTCTCTCTCACTGACCTCTGAGTGGCCTGACAGGCCGCATGAGGCTCTGATAGAAGCGCCGATGGCTCAAAGTCCAGTCCTTGAGAGCACCGCTCTTTCAACTCTGCCGCTCCTGCCTGGTCGTTCGGCTCGTCGTTGATGCAGAAGCTGGGTCCATTTTGGACCACCGAGTCCCTCCACCAACACTCATACAGACGGTGGTAACAGACGACCGCCTGCAGGCTGCCGGCTTCGGCTTCAGCTTCAGCTTCAGAGAGGTGGAGTGTTGTGGAATGTTTCCTGGAAAATATCCTGACGTCACCTGTGTGACAAACCGATCAATTAGTTAATATCAGGGCTGGGAGATAAATTGATTTTATCCATTAATCTAATTTTTGAAGATTTAATTTTTGGAACATTGGATTTTTTTTTTCCCACCACAGCTTTCCTTAGTTCAGAGTGATGTCACCGCAGCCAGAGCCGCCATCTTGCTTGGGAAGCTGCCATATATTTGCACTATAAATTCAGGTATACTCTGAAATATAATGGTCACGCAAATATTTTTTTTCTTTTTTCATTACAAGAATACGGCATTTTACAAGAATAAAGTAGAATGACATTAATGTTGAAATAATAGAATTAAGTAATTTCACGAAAATTCCCAACAACCAAAAAAAAAAAGTAAAAAACTCAGGCTTTTTTTTCTTAAATAACTTTTCATATTTCAGAAGTTCTTCTAGTAAAGAAGCATTTATTTTGCTAATGACTATATTTTCATAATTAAAGACTCTCGCAGCTGGTCCCCAATTCTCCATTGTACAACTCTCAGAAGGGATGACTGAAATAAGTCACTTTTGAAAATGGTTTCTGTCATTTTAATAAAAATTAAATTAAAATCACATCTGCTCTGAAAAAAAAAATCTAATTTTACTTTTAAGCTGCATCACTCAGCCCTAATTAATATTAACTACAATCTCTAGAATGATTTCAAACCAGCTTAAATAAAAGCTTGAAGTGGTACTGATACCTTCAGGGAACAGCAGCCGGCAGAACGTCGCAGAGACCTCAAAGTGTCCAGAGTCTCCGATCCAAGCCGCAGCCTGCCACAGCTCCGTCAGCAGCCGCCCGTCGTCGCTCAGCAGCCAGCTGAGCAGCGAGCGAGTCAGATGGACCGAGGAGTACAGCAGGACCTGAACATGGACAGAAATGGGTTCGTGTAATGAATTGAAACAAATAATTAACTTACGATTAAAGGTTTAATAGGTTAAAATGAGCTCCAATCAATTAATGTCTTCTTAGACATTATTTCAGTGTTATAGTTTGGCCTCCACCCAGAAGCAGAGCTGGTTGATGCAGGAAAAAAGACGGCAGAGCCAAACCAGAACAGAAAAGAGAAGTTTTAGCATTTAGCAAACACAGATGGTAGTATGTATCTCTCCGTTTCAAATATTTGTATTCTTTTCATTTTTTAATTCAGCAACCCAAGTCGTTCCCATTTTGCAATACATGTGAATGTTCTCTGTGGGTGGTCTTCGGAGCGAACCTGTCTGAGAGGAATGCTGGCGCTCCGTGCTGGAGTCTCCACAGACTTCAGCTCTTCCAGAAGCGCGCTGATGCTCCGATCTCCAGCTGAATTCAGGCAAACGTTAAACTCTTCCTCCCAGATGTCTCTCGCTCTGTCCTGGAAGGTGGTGTAACCGTTCAGGTTTGCCCACAGATGAGTGGAGACACAGGAAGCCGGGGCGAGGACGCCAGAGTCCTCCAGCGCCGCAGCCAGCAGTTCAGCCACACACAGATGGAGCCTGTGGGCCTACAGGACACAAAGTGCAACATTAAATGCTCTGAATATTTACAGAAAGGAGTAGTTTCAGGATATGACAGATTCTCACCAGCAGGGGGCTCTGTGAGCTCAGAACCTCTTGTGCTCCGACCCAGTCCTGAGCAGCGGCCAGGTCTTTAGCGCATCTCAGAGCCAGAGTTTGGCCCAGAACTTCCTCTCCGGAGATTCTCGCCAGATCAGCCGCCGTCCTCAGAGACGGGGCGTCGTTCTTCCTGGCGATGACTTTGGCTGCGTCAAAACTGCAGCCGGCACCGAGGTAACTGAGCGCAAACGTAGGAGGAGAGAAAATATAAACAGTTCAGAATCACAATCTGAATTCTGGGTGTAATTCTGTGGTTCTGCTTCTGACCATTTAGCAGCAGCAGATAAATGTCCGTCTTTCTCCAGCACAGCAGCCCAGCATGTGTAGAGATCCTTCAGCAGAGGCTGGTCTGCAGGGAGCCGGGCTTTCACCAGAGCAATGGCCTCCCTGAAGAACACCAGACCAGACGCAGGAACAGCACAAAAATCAACGGCATTAAAACTAAAGTCTGTGCCATAAATACTCTGCTTCTCACTGTGCTTTTAAGAAGGGCATTTATGTCACTTATTTCTAAACTTTTATTGATTTATTTGAATCTTTTTGATTTGGATGTGTTTGGAACCACTCCTTAGATCTCCTTAGTCCCACCACCTCCATTAATTCAGTTCAAACATCTTTAGCAAAAGAAACTGAGGTGGATTAGCAGTGCTTGCTAACAACTGACTGAATCATCCAGGACATAGTTTCTTTACTGTGATAGATAATTTACTATCACACAGTCTGTTCTGCCCAGATGTTGAGCTGTTGACATATCATGACAATCTTGAAACTGTCCTACCTACAGCAACTGTCTTCAGTCAGAAGCCACTTCAGACTTGTTCTGAGACTGACTGTTACTGCAGATTCTTCCTGACCACAACATCACCATTCACAACGCCTCTTAGATGTGCTTCTTTAGGACATCAGTTAAATAAAGGAACGTGAATGTCCGCAATAAACTCAATCTTGCACACCCATTTCTTGTTTTATAGTCTTTGAAGCCATATGTTGTGCAATTACCCTACTCTGGAAAAAAAATACTAAAAATGGAACCTAATGCCCAGGATGAGTGGATGTAAACATAAATTAAGCAGAGAGCAACAGTAAGTTACACAGATAAGCTCGTGTGTATGAACGGTGGGAGACATGAACCTGTAGAGCTTGTTGGACCTCAGCAGGTCCACAGCCTCGTACAGCTTGTTGATGGACAGCAGGTGGGACGCTGCCTTCAGGAACTGCTCCTGCAGACACAGCTGCTTGACGAAGGCCTCCACCGTACGGCTCCACACCTCGAAGCCAGCTGCACGAGAAGAAAAATAAAACCAAACCGTTTTCTACTAGAATAAATCTAAAATTCTCCTGTTCACCACTAGAGGGAACCCTTGTGCACAGCAATAAAAGCGCAGCCTGCTGAGGTGAAGCTGTTACCCATGGGAGCGATGGAGAGCAGGTGGTCACTGAGCTCTCCTCTCTCCGTGGCGAGCTGCAGCGCCCCCTGCAGGTCTCCGCTCCACAGGCGCAAATACACCACAGAGTCGTAGTGGCCCGCCTCCACATGGCTCTCCTCTAAACAACAAGAGAAGAAGAAAAATAGTTTAGTCTTTGACTCTGAACTTCTTAACCTTCAGCAGCTGAAGAAGAAAAATCCCACAAACCTTCAGCCTGAAACATGCGGTGCAGAGCCTCTCTGTCATGAAACAGACCCAGGTGGATATAATCTCCTTGGCCTGGGACACAGCCTGCAGGTGGCGCTAAAAACACAAAAACGCTTTTATCGACAGATCTTTGACCTTTTTGTATGTAGAAACTTAACCAGTTTTTGCAAGATAAAGCAACAAAAGTTTAGTGCATAAGTCAAAATCTAGAACCTCAAGTACAGCACCCTGCAATAAATATTTACGCCCCTTGAACCTTTCCACATAATGTCAAGTTGTAGCCACAAACATGTCTTTATGTGACATAGAAACACAAAGTAGTGCAGAACTATGCAGCTAATTGCTTTCAGACGTCACCAAATTATTAAACAGAATCAAGCTGTGTGCAATTCACAGATATTTCTATTTGTGAAGTTCGTTGATATATAGAGGTGTAACGACTACAGTTTTCTGGCCAATCACCTATCTTTATAAAAGTCTGACCTGACGATTTTGATTTTGGCCAATGTCTGAAAAGTCGCAAAATGCAGCGACAAAGTTGGAAACAGTGTGGTGATTAATGTCAACTCCTGATTTTCAGACTTCTGTGGAGGGAAACAAGCTCAGTTTCTCATTTAAGTACTGGGCGACTGCAGCTCTCTCAAAATTAAGGAAATCATGTCTGATCTATTGCTGCACCTCTACTGAAATGGATTTTCAATAACATTCAGTCCAGCTGCTTTCCAATTGGTATTCATTGTTTAAAAATATGAAACCAAATGATTGAAACCAACCAATCAGATGCCTTCAGTTATGGAGACAGATCGACGGCTGAATAGATCCATTTTGCCTTAGTTTAAGAATTAGTAAATATTTCTCTAGATGGATATGAACCTTTGATGACATGAACCCTCTGACTTTAAGCTTCTCACCACTGGAGTGTTTGACTGAAGCCAGAGTCAGGCAGTCCTGCAGCAGCTCCTCTTTGGGCCTGTGGTCCATGGATGTGCTGAGAGGCAGCATGGAGCGAGGCTTCTTCTTCTTCATCAGGTCTGGAGAGGCAACACATGAAACATTATGAGATATTGACCAGTTATTTACAATGGAGGATTGGATTAATAGATGCAAAACAAACATCAGAATTTACTCTCATTTTCACAACCATCCTGTTCAGTTTTTCAGAAAAGATGAATCCACTCACCTGGTTTGTCTTTAAGTTTTGCAGCAGGAGTGGATTTCCTTGGTACCTCAATAACTGCTAAGAATAAAAAAAAATGCTTCATATAAAATAATAATTAAAACAAGCTCCTTTTACTGTACTGTTCACCTACCAGCTGGAGATTCCAGACTGTTTGTTGATCGGACTTCTTCCTCTTCGTCTTCCTCAGACAGAGCCTGCTCTGCCTGCTTTCCTTCAGTTGCCGGCTCGCCGTTGATCTTCGGTTCTGCCGGTCCAACAGATCCTGATGCCATCTTGTTCTTCTTCTTCTGCTTCTTTTCCTGCATCATGACCATCTTCTTCCCTGAGATTAAATGGTAGCATGGCGTCACAGAAAGCTGTATCGGCAAACAGACCTTCTTCATGTCCATGTCTACCTTTAGGGGGCTTGGTGAACTCCTGCTGGGAGACCTTCCACTCCTGGACTGTGAAGTCTTTCCCTCCAGTCCAGATCACATCTGGATCAGCTGGAGACCAGTCAACACACAGCAGATACCCAGTGTGACCACGGTAGTTGGAGACGGCCGCTTCCTCCAGGACGTCCCACACCTACATGGAGGGACACCATTAAATATCACCGTCCAACTCAAACTGTTCAACTGGGTAAATGAGCATTAAGAAGATGTTTGTTTAGAGCTAAAGATAAATCTATATGGATGGTTGATTGATGGTATAGCTAATTCACTTTTGAGAGAAGAAGTAGATGGTATAAGGTTTTTTCTTCCCACTACTCCTTTTTATTCAAAACCTGTTTGTAATGCGACATGTTCAAATGAACAAAATAACTCCCTATACTTTAGGGAGATATTTGTATTTTATTTATTTATTTGTATTTTATTTATTTATTCGAATAAAGTATAGGAGCTTAAGTGTAGTTCAAGACTGCATAGAAGTAAAGTACCCAGATACATGTCCAGACTGACCTGAGCCGTGCCGTCGTATGAGGCGGTGACGAGTCGGCCGCTGTGGTGCGGACTCCAGGCCACGCTGGTGATTTTAGCCGTGTGACCACAGAGCCGGCGGTACGGCTCAGTCAGCACCGCCGGGCTCTCTGGAGGATTCTCTGCAGAAAGCGAGATAATGAAATATATGCTGCCCAAAACTAGATTAAAGAAATAAACTAAACTTTGATTCTATGTGAAAGAAAAAATATACAAATTAAAACAGATTTTGCTAAATCTGTGCAAAATGCAAGACACATAGTTCCAACTGATTGAGCATTCAAAAAAGCAACAAAACGTTTGTCCCCTCTAATTTTCCCTGATACGATGACATTTCCAATAACAAAAGACAAAGATGCTCCAAAACACCAGTTGATTGCAATTATTTTGCTATTTGTGAATGGCCTCTTCCTCAGCAGTACCAGGTTGCATTGGCAACACTCTTCAGTGTGAACGTTGTTATTGTGTAAAGATAAAAAGTCTCTTAAAATGAAGTCAGAGGGAGAAATTGTAAGAAGCTACTCAGGTGGACAATAGTTTAAACAATGTGTAGGGAGACAGCTACTGTTTATTCAGGCTTTCAACGGATAACAGGAAGGCTGAACTTATTGCAGAAAAGTTGTGAAGATTTTTTGAAATGTCAAAATTAAGGTAAGGATCTACATTCTCTGAATACACAGAATCTGCCAGTCACTAACTGCTAATCAGACAATAATAAGGCAGTTTAAAATGTCAACTCAATTTTCCTTTTTTTTTAAATAAAGGAATAATAAACACAAAAATCTAGAAAAAAGGTCTGAAATAATGTTTTCATAGCTAAAAATTCTAGAACTGCACGAGGTCAGGATCGACAAGAAATACCAATAATGAATGGAGGAAAAAAATATCTGAAAACAACAAGAAGATGTTTCCAACCAATGACAGAGCGGAGGTCGTGGATGTAGACGATGGCATTGCTGGAGCCTGAGGCCAGCAGGCAGTGGAGTTCCGGCGCAGCGCCGTGGTCGTGGTGCCATCGCAGCGTGTTGATGATCTTGTGGTGCTGCTGGATGCTGCACAGCAGCAACAGACTGGGAGCCTGATACACATCGATGCTCCTGCAGGAACAAAACACTCAGATGTTCAGAAGGTGTGTGGGTATGACTAACCACAATATCATATCTATTACTTAGACAACGATACAATGTTTGCTGATATGTCTGTCACAATACAATTTAATTCACAAAACTGCAATCAATAAATCATATGCGCACTTAACATCCATTTCAACTCAAAAAAATAACGACTATGCTCTTACAGGCATTGGAGTAAAAAGTTAAAAATAAGGAAATATCTTAAACTTGATGAAACAGACTGATATTTATATTTTGCATCAACGTAATTGGATCATTAATCATTTAACTGATATAAAGCAATGTATTGCTACTCCTCTAGTTTATAACAATTCATTTAGAAGAAATTCTTTGTGATGCTAACACTGTAACTCAAGAAGGAGTTGTGGCCCTTCTCTAGTTAAAACAACTTACAATTATTTAATGAAAACTAACTCTACTGAGGAAACTGAAGCTATACCACTGCCTCTTTTTTTTTAACCTTTTCTGGCTCAGGATGCCAAAAATATCCTGAACTAAAATTAAATCAGTGAAGTAATTTTGTTGAGACTAGAAACAGACAACAAAAAGATTCTAAAAAAAAATAAACACATAAATATTAAAAATAAAAATTCTCAAAGACCCCCAACTATCCTCTGACGACTCTGAATTTACTGGTCCTGCTTTTGAACTTTAAATGAACACAGAAATAAATACAAAGTCTCAACAGCTCAAACAGAACTAATCTCCTTATTCTGTGGGTAAATAGATTTGAGTCACTCACCCATCCTCGTTGCCGATGGCGACAACCTTCCCATCCGGCTTCCAGCTGAGGTCCGTGTGTGGAGACAACTTGTGCTGTTTGAAAGCAGGAGAGGTTCAGTAGAAACAAGACCGAACACAGGCTTTTTTTCTAATGTTCAGCTAAAAAAAATATCAGAAATGACTCAAGATTTTAGTTTTGTCATCCTGATGACACACACACTCCACACACACCCCACCTGGATGTTGTTGGTGTCTCTGATGAGCTCGTCGATGTCTGATGCCTCTCCGTTCAGCCTCGCTGGTTCGTGTTGCAGGATGATGCCCTCGCCGGCGCAGCTGTACAGACTGTAGCTCTGCTTTCCTTCTGCACCTAAACGTCACACAAACGTGTCTCATAGATGCAGTCTGTCCCTGCAGACCAGCTGCACTTTGGAAATCAGCAGCAACATTTTCAAGTTAAAGTTTTCTTGATTTTGATTTCAGAGCTAGCAGGGACTCACCAAACGACAGCGGGGGCACTGGGGGCCCCCAGGCCAATGTGTACACAGTCTTCCTGTGATAGGAGCTCGATATCTGAGGAGGCCTGCAGGAGAACAATCAGAGAGAGAGAGAGGATGGTGACACTTTAGGAAAATGACCCAAAGGAATTGGAAGATGAAAGACACTTTCAGTGTTTTGTGTTTTGCCAGTTTGGCAAATGGATACAAAAACACATGAAATGACCTCCTTGAACCAGCGGTCAAAAGCAATCAGGAGAAGGAGGAAGTTTGGAAAGAGTATTACAAATCCTGCCATAGAGGATCTTACTTGTTGGAGAAGACGTCATAGATCCCAACTTTTCCATCATCGGTTCCAAAAGCCAAGGACCCCTCTTTTTTCGGGTGCCACGCCAGCTGCAATTAAAGCAAAAACTAATACATGTTTTTCATCTCTAGAATGTTTACTACAAGTAAGTAGTTTTAAAAGTTCACCTGTTTGCTAATAAAGGGGACGTTTTTTTATATTTTCAAACTGTTTCAAGCCCTAATGTGACCATGTCCTTCACAGCACACATGATGATGTTTCACTGAGGGTACAGTTTTACTGTGGTCTCATTTTTTTAACCACACTGAGTTTTGGAAAATTGTAAGATACCCACAGCTAAGTCTTACCGCTGTGACCTTGGACTTGATGCCCTGCCAAAACGATCTGACGTCGTACTGGTTCTGGGTGCTTAGCGTATTCCACACTCGGATCAGGTTGTCCCCGACGCCAAGCGCAAGACAGCCGACGCCCACTGGGGAGAAGCTCAAGGTGTAGACGTGACCCCCCAGCGTGGGCAGGGTCCAACAGCAGCTCAGAGAGTCCATGTCCCAGCATTTAATCTGAACCAGTGGCAAAAAGAGAACAACTTAATCCTCTTCAACCCACCTAATCTGTCTGAGGTTGCTGCAGTGTAAAGAAGCACTAAATCCCAGAAGCATAAACAAACATGGATTTTATGCTGGATTAAAAAAAAGAGCATTATTTCCATTTAAATTTCTAATATGACATAATTTTTGTCACAAAAGTCTTATTTTTAACCAACAGTTTCTCAAAATGCAGGTTTCAGGTTAAACATTTATCTTTGGCTGGAGAAAAAGAACTTCTAAAGTTCTAAAGAGCAGAAAAGTTGAATATTTGTTCTTTTCAAGTGTATTAAATTAAAAAGTACTTTCCCCATTTTTTATTCTTTTTAATGTCTTGTACAACTTTTTTATTTCTAAAACAATTTGTAAAAGTTTAAAAACTCTTAGAGACAAATCATTTTTTCCTCAAAGATCTAGTAAAACAAAAGTGGGTAAGTAAAACTTTAGTTATTTTTTTGGGTGAAGCCAGGCACACACCTCTCTGTCCATGGATGTGCTGATGAGAATCTCTCGGCCGTCCTGCAGCTGAACAGAACTCATGTTGAAGACGATCCGGCTGTGGTTCTGACCCTCAGACGACGTTCCAAACAGACTCCACTTCTGCTTACCGGTCTTGGCCAAATCCCACATTGCCAGCTCACCGCTGGAGTGGTAGGAACAGTTAAACGTCAACCCTAACCCCCATTTTAGCAGGAAATAATTCAACAATATAAACACTGTTTTATGTTTGTCAGCAATATAAATAAAATAGCCTTAATATTAAATTTACTTCATTTATGACTTTGTGTCTTTGTACAATTTCAGTTTTCTGGAACAAAATGTGTATCCAAAGAGTCCTGGTTCATAATACCGGCCACTAATAGAGCTTCCAGGGTATTTGGAACAGAGATAGGCCTCCAACAAGTTCAACTCTTATTTTTCTTGATTAGAGCACATGGTCCTAGTCAAAGTGTCAGTTTTGAAAATAATGCTTCAATATAGTTTTAACTAAAAGATCTTTTTTTTTTAATTATTTTTTTATATCTGCTACTTATTCCTGAGGATTAGTAACACTCATCTTAATCTAAACTTTTATGCCTCCTGCGTGTCCCAACTCCCCCATAGGAAAACTCTGGACCTGAAGCAGCTGGAAACAAGCTGTGTCGCTCGTCCCTTTGGCCAGTGGACGTTGAGCCAGATCCTCTCTTTCACCCCGGGGTCGACAGCAGAGCCTCTTCTCTTTAGAAACGGCAGTTTCAACGTCATCACGCCTGTCAGGAGAGGGGGAGAAAACATGAAGGGATTTAGGGTTTAAATTCACTGCAGAGGGGAGCTGGAAATGAATGAAAATGTGATTTCATCCTAAAATGTCTAAACTCCCTCATTGATATTATTGGCATACTAGAAATAAATTCAAAACTAAATACTGAATTAAAGAAAAGTTTGAAGCATTTTCATGTTTCACAAACCTCATCCCTCACCTTTTCCCTTGGCAGTGCTCCAGATCCTCACCGTCTGGTCTTTGCTTCCAGAAGCCAGGAAGCAGCCTGATTCTTCCCCAGCTGAAACTCCATTTGTTGCTGAAACATAATAAACGTGAGCCTTAAATTAAAAACAAAACAGCAGCGCTTTTGACATTTTTTTGGCTGGCAGGATAAAATTACCATCATGGTCCTCAGATCTGGTGTAGAGTGCGTCCTCCCCGATCAGCGGAGACCACGCCAGAGAGTGGATCTCGTTGTCATGTCCCCGGAGACGATGCATCACCTCACCTTTTTTACTAATGTCAATCAGCACAATCATCCCGTCTTTGTACCTGCACCACAATCAACAGCAGTTTAGTTGTCGTTATTGTAACATAAGTTCCACTGAACCATTCGTTTTTGTTGAAAGTGGCCCTTTATGCTTCCTTGAACATGCTACTATAAGTCTATACAAAACATCTTCTTTACATTTTTTACATAAAATCATTCTTAGATAATGAGATTTTGATCCATTTCATGCTCTTTCAGAATGAACTGCATTAGGGCCTCTTGTAGCTTTAAATCCAAATAAGCTGCTGCTGGCCACGCCCACCCCCAACTCAACATTTACACTCACATGTGAAAATGGCTGCAAACAAATGCACAACAACCGTGAATCTTTGAAAAGCGAAAGTGGAGCCTACTGCACAACCAACAAAATGCAGCAAGTGGTTTCAAATGGTAACAACTAATCACTTGTCTTTTCCAGCATCCATTGTAGAGCGCATAGAGTGGTAAGACCAGCTGACCAAACGTTCTGCTAGGCTTGATAAACTTTGCTGGACGCTAGGTTATCGGGGCTGAGGTTACTAGTTGAGGGGCTGGGCTCTGCTGGGGTTGCTAGGTAACGTTGCAGTGTCTGTTGATTCTGACTCAACATTCGGTTGGTTTTTGAAACAGCTCATTTTCTAACCAAACTCACACTTTAGATTGGTCTTTAAACTCTGTAACCCCTTATAAAGCCACCATCCTGAAGTCTAAACTGAGAAGTGATGTATAATGATCTACCGACCCAACAGCCACAGACTTCCAGCTGTGAGGAGAGCAGGTGAGGCAGAAGATGGTCCTCGGCTCGGGGAAGAAGATGGCCGTGTCATCGGTGTGGAACCAGTGGCAGACCACCACTCCCTTCTCGTCACCCGACACCACCAGGTTTTTATCTGCAGGGGACCAGTGCACTGCTGAGATGGGGCTCTGCAATACACAATCCAGTATTTAGCAGAAAACTATGCCCAAGAATATCTAAAGGCTGGTGCAGTTGAGGCAGCAGCCAGCAGAGGGCAGTAGAATCATACTAAGCTAACCTGATGAGGCGCATTTTTCCTGATTAAAGTTTTGTTATTGGAGTCCCAGAAGCGCACACTGCCATCAGTGGAGGAGCTGACACAAATGTGACTCTGCTCAGAGTGCTGGCAGAACGAAAAGCCAGACACCAAGTCCCTGTGGCCCACGAGTTCACCTGCAAAACACACACAAAGCATTGAATTCAATAATGAGCCTTTGGTCTTGAGTTTTCAACCATTCAGAAACAATTGGAGTCCTCCCACTCCAGTGGATCCTCTAGGGCAGAAATCCTCCCCCTGAACTCTGATATGAAACTGGTTCCTGCTTGCAAAATAACAAGAAAAAAAGACCCTTGTTTACGAAAATGTTTTTTTTTTTTTTTTTTTGAGTCAAAGCAGTTCATAAACATTTTCAAAACAAGAAAAAGTGAGAAATAGAATAATTAAAACTGCTCCTGGAAGCAGCTTTCTGAAAACTGGTTCCAAGAAATTATGTTAAAGTCCAAATGAGGTTGCTTCAGTCAAAATAAAGGGGGCAATAGAAAGGCCCAAGAAAAGTTCATGAACTCAAAACGACGGAAGTCAAAAAAGTCCTGGTAAAACGTTCCTGTGATAGAAGGAGCTACCACTCAAACAAGAGGCATAAAAAAAAATACATGCTGGTCCTGGAAAAGGTTCCTTCAGTCGAAAACAGCCAGGAAAACAGTTCCAGAAGACTGCCCCAGTTCATGAAAAATATCTCCCTCATAGAAAAGCTGGGAGGCAGATGAGAAAGGGAATGGTTTCTGTCCAAAATAAATAAATGAATGAAAATCGAATTGATCCGATTGAAAATCAGAATCAAATAGTCTGGTTCCTAGGACATGAGGTCTCAAAAAGAGGTAAGGAGTGGGTATTAAAGATTGAATTGTAAGGAAAAAATGTCCTGCAGAAGAGAAAAATCGGGGGAATGAGTAATTGCCCCATTAAAAAATTATCTGGTTTTTGTAAAAGGTTGCAGTGGCTCAGGGTGTCCCGCTGCAGTTCTCCAGCCCTGGAGTCCGGCCAGTTTTAGATGAGCCTCTGCTCCAACACAGAGCACAGCTGTCATGATTACTAAATAAAATAATACATGTTCTAGAGAGGTCTGCAGATGAACCATCATTTGATTGTGATGACTTGGGTATAAAACTAAAACATGCCGGATACCACGAGAACTGACTTTGGACACAACTGTTCTAGACTAAATAACAGTTCCAAAAAGATACCGAAATGTAAAAAGCACCCAAAATAGACAACAGAATTCCAAGCAACTTAAAAAAACAGTGATTAAAGTTACCACAAGGAGAAATATACTGTGGAAAACGTTCAAAGCAGATTTTTGAACCAATTCTCTCAGAGAACTAATCACTAAGCCTCGTGGTTTGTGGAGTTGTGAGAACAGACTCACCTGTAACCCTGCATGAAGCAGCAGAAACCTCAATCAGATAGATTACATTTTTGGCTCCGACTCCCAGCAAACCGCTGCTGCTGACATCACTGCAGCGCGAGCTGTACCAGTTAGGAGAGGCGGGAAGAGACCTCTCACGCATGGCGTCTCAGACACTTTAGATAACCGTTAAATTTATTTCATAATTTTAAGACTAAATAAACCAAAATAAAAACTCCTCACATGCTACCTGGAGGGTTGCAGTCGCAACGTTAAAGAGCAGCGTGTTGTCGCAAAAACCCTGCCTAGAGTACGGAATCCTAATAGGGTCAAACCGCACGGAGTTTGCCGTTTTTTAATCCCGGATTTACAGGTTGTAAGCAGTTTGTATTGCCATATCAGATGACAAAGCTACCAAAAACAGAAATATACATTTATACGTCCATTTCTACATGTAATTGTAATCATAATATTAAACACCAAATATATAAACGCTGCTACCGTAAAGATGCTGTTGAGACGTCGTGACAACAGCATTCAATATGGCGGTGGCAATGTCAGGTCGTGGTAAGTAAACCTTATTCATTTGTAAAAACAGCAAATTGTTGCTTAATGTATATATATATATTTTTTTTCAAATCTTGATGTTATTTCAGGCGTCGCCTTCATTAGGAACATAGTTGGGTCGCTACACTTGAGGTAAGGGCATTGTATATCTTAGCCGTGAAGCTGCTGTCTAAGAAGACTAACTGAACAGCTTTAATTTTGTGGTAATCCTTTATAGCATGTAACATTTGTATTTTAATCACTTATTTAAATCGTATTTAAAAAACCAAGCACAAACTATAGTACATGGCTATTTCACACACGATGTACTATGGCTATGTAATAGCACACAGCCATAGTACAAAGGCTGTGTACTATGGCACCCTGTGTACTGTGGGTACATAGGCTGCCAGATTGTAGAGCTGTAACAATCAATACATCTACTATTGATTGTAACAGCAATCTTTGATCAGCTTTGGTTTAAAATGCAAAATACTTAAGCTAGCCAAAACCAGTTCCAGACAATGTGCTGTTTACAGAATGTTTATTGCATAAATTGTAACTTGTGAAACCTTTACTCCATTTGTAACACACTAAACTGCAATTTAAGACATAAGTACCACTTTAGATGATTATTAAAAACTGCTGTTCTAATTGGTTTTATTTGTATTATTCATATTATTCACATGTCATGATTGGTGAAACTATTTAAAGTATTTAGGATCTGTGGATTATTCTACTCCAAATAAATGTTGAGATCTGAAATTTTCTGGGTTAAATGTTCTCTTTTGTATATGTCTTTTAAGACTATTCTGATTACATGGATTAAACCAGTTCTGTAAGAAGTTTGGTTTTTAAGCAGTGCCTCATTTAGGGTTTCTTAAATGCAGCTGAGTAAAGGTTCTGTGAGTTTTTCTTTGGGAATCTTCACAAATTGTTGAAAAGCTATTAACACAACTATTAATTACCATTTGACCTGACAACTTTTCAATTAAACTAATAGTTTGTCAGCTATTTAGTTGCTCAAAGTGTAGAATAATTGCAAATGTTAAAAGTTTTAACATTTTGTTCTGCCATAACTTAAAATAAAATGAATTTCTCATAATTTGTTCTGTTTATATTTTCAAAGCTTCCCACAGTCTAAAAAATTTCCAAAAGTTGTAGCATATCATGCTTTTTGTAATTTACAAGGTAAATTCTGCCTCCACTAAATTTTTTTGTTCCCTCTTTCATCGCCATGGTTACAGGTTGCAGGTTCTTGGTGGTGCATCGCAGCAGCTCTCATGTCTCCACACAAGCATTTCATTAGATGCCAAACACTGGGAGAGGAACAACCGGAAAGTATATCCTCCTCAGCTGCCGGAGGAGCCTCGCAGACCTGCAGTGAGTCACTCGACTGAAACCTTGAATGAGCAGAACACCTGGTGTTACTGTAAGATTTTCTAACATGATGTTTGTCTGCAGGAAGTTTATCACAGCAGGAGGCAAATAAAGTACAGCAAAGACAAGATGTGGTATTTGGCTAAGATGGTGAGACTCGCAGCAGAAATCTGGGATAAAAAGTTGGAACATTATTTTTTTAAATGCATCAAAATGTAATTTGTTAATAAGAAAATAAACTAATCAATTTCACCTCACGTTATAAACATAAATTAAGAGTTTGATGTCAGCAGCACAGAAAACTTAGGAGATTTCTGTCTATTTTGTCAAACTGCATATTGTCTGAGGTTTTCCAGACTACTCTGTCCACATTTTAACCATCTTCACTTTATCTTTTAATAGTAGCCTTAATTTGTAGCCTTAATGTTGAAATACTGCAACCTCAAATTAAATAGAAAGATTATTTTCAATCTGAGTTATGTTCCTTACAGATCAGGGGGATGAGCATCGACGAGGCTATCGCTCAGCTGGAATTCAACGACAAGAAGGGAGCAAAGATCATGAGAGAAGTTTGTGGCTGCATCTGATTGAGTTTTGGCAAAAAAAAAAATGTCTGCATGAGTTTAAGAGTTCCTCTTTGCTTGATTCAGGTTCTTCTTGAAGCTCAAGAGATGGCGGTCAAGAATCATAACGTGGAGTATAAATCTAATCTCTACGTAGGTGAGTATCTGCAACCTTCTGTTCGCCATTGTGCCTTTAGGACTCAGCACTGCCCCCTCTCAGTGCCGTGTGGTACTTTGAGCCTCATCCTGTGCATTCTCAGTGCACATTTATGGCCAATCAAAAAGGTTATGGCAAATGCAACCCAAACCCGCTTTTTCTGCCCATATGCAACCCATATTCCACTTTTTCATGCAGTCTGAATGGTCCAATTGCGATTTTTTTTTTATCACCCAAGAAAAAATCTAATTTGTCCCACTTTCTTATGTTGAATCAGGTTGTATATGCATCTGATTGTTTTTAAATTGTCTGCAGTCTAAACGATCATGTTGCATTTTATTTGACTTTTATGACAATAACGTGAGATATGCATCATCATTCTTCACCAAAAGAAGTCAAATTCAGTAAATCTGGACATAAACAATGGCTGAAAATTACAATTGTGAACTTACGAAAGAAGTCTGTGTAACAGAAGCGCATCATACCGAAGTCCCACAACTCCTGGCTCTGACTACACATCCAAACAAACTTTTCTGCAAAATATCATTGCTATTATTTGTGATATATATATATATATATATATATATATATATATATATATATATACACTGCTCAAAAAAATAAAGGGAACATTTCACTTTAATTTTGTGTGTGGCTCCAAATCCAGGCCTCCATTGGTTAATAAATTTGATTTTCATTGATGATTTTTGTGTGATTTTGTTGTCAGCACATTCAACTTTGTACAGAACAAAGTATTCAATGAGAATATTTCATTCATTCAGATCTAGGATGTGTTATTTGAGTGTTCCCTTTATTTTTTTGAGCTATATATATATATATATATATATATATATTTTCACACATATGACATTTCTAAACACCGGCAGCCTCTTCTAGAGATTAAGATACATTTCTGCCCCCCTCTCACTTTTTGTAAGCCAATGCTGTTTGAGTTTGTAAATTTGTTCTCAGCAATATTTTTAGACTGTTTTTAATTGAGAGCTACTTTGGAAAATAGAAAATCATTCCATGTCTTTTCTCCGGTCGTTTCTTCTTCTTCCCTTCAGCCGAGTCATTCTCCGGCAAAGGGCAGTACCTGAAGAGGATCCGTTACCATGGCAGAGGCATGTTCGGCATCATGGACAAGGTTTACTGTCACTACTTCGTCAAGCTGGTGGAGGGTGTGCCACCCAAACCGGAGAAGAGGACGGGCTTCGATCAAGCCAAAGAGTACGTCCAAGGTCTCAAGAACCGGACCATCATCCACAGCCTGTAGATCACCCAGCCTTCAACTGTTGTTTGTGTGTCATTTTATATTTGTAAATAAATACAAATTAATTAAAATACAATAAAATGTGCTTTGTGCTTTTTATTTGATTTCATTTTTTTTTTATCTTTGAGGTTTTTGTGAAGCACTGCAGTTTCTCTTCTAAAAATGAAACTAGAAAAAATTGGAGGAATTCTTTCCTCACTAGTTCTGATCGTTCAAGCTGTACTGGAAGCAGCTTTAATGTGTAGCCATTAGACATAATGAAGCAATAATGGTTCTTGGATCCTGTTCTGAAATGCTCATTAGCGATGCCTTCAGTCAACACTACAGGGTTTCTATGCAGCCTGTGAAAGTATGGGATTTAATTTAGGTTGTTTCCAGGTCTGAATAAGTCCTAAAAAAGTAAAAAAAAAACTAAAAAACATGTAGTATAAATACCTGTACATTGTTCATAGGAACAGAGGAACGTGTGACCAGAACATCTCATACTTCACAAGAACAAGTGGAGAACGTCTGAGAAGTTCAAACAAGCAGAAAAAGAATACTGCACAGAATTTGGCAAGAACAAGCTACTGCTTGTATCTGATGTAACTGAAAAAAAAAAAAAAAAACTCAGACCACACAGATGCAAGATAATATTTCAGCCTTCCAGGATTCAAACAAAATATATCATCCATGATTTCAGATGCATGTTTCCCCTTTACAGATGACTACATGTCTGCATGAACAGAAGGAAATCATTTTGTCCTTTCACCTCTGGGAGAGAGAAATTTCTGTTTTCTGGTGGAGTGTAAATAGAACCTAAAAATAATTTATTCAGACTTTATTCCCTATCCTAATGTCTAAAATATGTGTTCATCTATCCAACTCTTTGCTGAGATCCATTCCGATTATCTATCATATATACATCTATGCATCATGATTTTTACAGGTGTGATAATTGCAGAAATGTCTTGCATAAATTTGAGCCAATTTCTACACTTTATACTTTAAAAATGACTGAAAACTCTGGAGATGTAAGCCAGGAATACATTTTTTTAATGGTAATAGTAGTTACATGTTGAATCCTCCCCTCATTGCTCTCCATCATCCTGAATAAGCACAAGGTGACAGTTGAGAGGAACAACTCCTTTTAATAGAAATAAACTTCAGCAGAACAGAAAACCTGGACCAGTACACTGTCCATGGAAAGAAATGAAGAAAACATGCAGTTTGCTACAGCAATAGTTAAGTAATTCTGCAGTTTAACATTTAAAAAAGTATTATTGTGTACAGCTCTGCCTTCATGATGCCCATCCCCCAACAGCAGCACATTTACAGCTATCAGAGAAAGCAGACGGCGCACAAACATCCCACTGCAGCTCTGTTTGGGAGCCTGTTTTGATCCGACAGGCGTAAATAAAGCCGTAAGTGTGTGCCAGTTGCTCTGTCACTGCTTCACCCTGATGGGTTTGGTGGTTGTGTCAGTGTGACAGCAGCCAGAACTCCTCCTCCTATGAGTCCAAAACCTGTCAGCATCACTGATCATCAGCTTGTCACTTCGACCAAAGCTCTGCAAGAAGAAAGCTCCAGGACTTTTTCATGAAACACAGAAAATGATTTAAAAAAAAAAGAAAGAAAAAAGAATTCTCTGTCTTAGATTGACAGACACTTGTCGATGTTACTGTAATGTCTAAAATAAAAAGAAAATGTATCTTTTTATAGATGGGACTGGAACTGAATTTCAGTTTTGTCTCATATTTCCTACAGTACTGATACATCAGATTTTAAGGGTATCATAATTGTAGCAAATATCAGGTACATGCAGTTGAGAATGTCTGCTTCATTCTCAACTTCACAAGATGTTATGCTGATAACAAATTGTTCAGAACGGAGTATCTGGTGAGAACATGCAAACGGCATGCAGAAAGAGGCTGGGGCCAGACCCAGGACCCTTTTGTTGCATAGCAACAATGCTACTAATTGCTCCACCGGGCAATTTAAACGGGTCGTTAAAAATGCATTTTAAACAAGGCATGAATTTCATCTTTCCAGGAGGTTAAATATATTTCAAATATTCATTTAGAATTAACATTTATCAAGGAAAAATTATATCTAATACAAATCCTTTATTGTCTGATCACTATTGTATGACTAAAAAAAAAAAGAACAAACATCAAGAGAAAGGTTTCATTGATTATCTTCATTTTCTGGGTATTTTTATTTTTTTTTTCAAAATATTTTTATTAGACCCAATCAATCAGATTACAAAATGTGAACATATATTGACACATTTGATGATGTAATACTGACAAAATGGTGCAGCAAATAATACAATACAGTGCACTTGTTTTCAGGTTTGTTTTTAACAGAAGAAAAACATAAAAAAAATTAAGAAATTCAATTCAATTAAAAATAAAACTAGTAGAAATGAAACTAATCTACTTCCCTTCACATCTCAGCTCACAATAGTCAAGTTTTCTAATAATTTAGTCCAAGAGAGAAGCTTAAAAGAAGTAGATAAAACAAGGACAAGCTTATCCTGATTATTTTGTGATTTCTGTTTCTTTTAATCTTATTTTATTTTCTGTAATTATTATCAGTTCACTATTTCTTTATGCATCTTATATTTTTTTCTAGTTTACTTTCTGGGTTTTCGTTTTTAAAGTATACTAATATTCATGTCAGTTCTTAGATTAAATAAATGCTTTTGGCATTTGTTTGTTTATTTCTTCACGTTTTCTGATTTCACTGCCCTTGCATCTAAAGTTATCTGTAAATTGTGGAGCCTTTTGGGATTTTATCTGTTTATTAAAAGGCTTTCCCTTGAATTTGTCTGCTTCATTCTCAACTTCACTAGATGTTCCACTGCTAACAAATTGAATTGAAAGGAAAAGGAAACAGCTCTCAGAGAACAAACTCCGGACCTGAAAGCATGCCTTCTTTGGAAATGTGTGTTTTCTAAAAGGTCACAGTGTCTCATTGTTTTCCAGGCCTAGAGCTTCACTCTCCGCTGATCCTAATTGGCCTTTAGTTTCCTGCTCCTGATGTGACCGGTCCGGTTTGTGTGTCCGCCTGTCACCGCGTCCATCCAAAGCTCTTGTCAGCTCTGAGCAGCTTTGAGTGCATTTTCAAATGAAATGCCATCTGCTGGCCCCAATTTCAGCAGACAAGTGCCCCCAATCTCAGGTTGGAGGCCGCCTCGGTCCCTCCGCACAAAACACCGCAGAGTTCTGAAAAGAGCAGGCGGCTTCATCTTCTTCCTCTTCCTCATCCTCTTTTTATCAGCACAACTTTTTCTACCCGGCCGCTTCATCTTCATTTCCCTGAGATTATCCACAAATAGGGCCATCAACATACTCTAATGCACATGTTTAGCATCAATTTACTCTCATGCAAAAATGATAGAAGACAGAAATTTTATTTGATCTAGAAAAACTATTAATTCAATTAATTACTGTAATTTATTATCATTTGAAGTATTATTAATTAATGTGCTAGAATGGAAATGCAAAAATATAACAGTTAAATATAAAATAGAATAATTCATTTTTAGAACAGCAACAGTGATAGCAACACACATTAAACAGCAGTAATGATAAGATTAAAGATATATGTATCATAAGCATAAAAATTTTAAAAACATAAACTCTTAAGAATAAATAGCTAACTTAAAACCAAAGTTGTTCATTTTCTGTTCTAAAAAATGCTGACTTTGCACATTTAATGTGTTGGGGATGTCTTTACTTAGCCCACTTTCAATACCAGACAGAAAAAAAATATATTTTTGTATTGGCCTAATCCAATAGGTCTGAAATATGAGAGATGTTGTTGTTATTGTTAGCATAAGGTGCAGATTAACACTAACTGTACTGAACCGGTTTTTACCCCTCAGGTGTTCCGAAAAACATTCATTGGTTCAATTTCTACCTGCTAAATTTTCTTTTCATATTTTCCTTTAGTTAATTTTTTTACTTTGATGTTCAAGTTTGTTTTTTTTTTTCAATAATATTTTTATGTTCTCACCAGGCTTTATGTCAAGATATCAACAAGAGCCACGACCAACACTTATGTAGTTTTTCCTAAGAAGAAAAACTAGTTAGCTAGATAGTTAACTAACCCTGACCCATAGTAAACAATGAGATTCCTCATTTTGGAGGAATCTCATTTTCATTATGCACTAAAGATTGCCTGATTTTCTTCAGCCTGTTAAACAAGTAGATAGTAGCAGATAAAGTTGAACATTGGAGGTGGGAGTTTTCTATAATGTATCTATGAAGCTTCATTTTGAAATCCATGTTGTAATCACCATCCTGAGGACTGTTGCTTTATAAAACACTGGACAAGAAAGAAAATTTAAAAAGCGCAAACAGCTTCTACAATACAAAATGAAACAAGAAACAAAATTAGAAGAAACCATGTTGTGTGACCTGGCTCTCAAAATGAATCTCTGAATTTGATGTGTTTTCATCAAGTTCCCTTAAATGAGCTGCACAATAGAGAATATACTCAGAGCTTCCAGAATGAGAAATCTTAAGCCAAATTGTTGGTTTCTTGAAAAATGTAACATTTCAGAATTCACATAAATAAATGATAAAAAAAAATTGAGAAACTGTTCTCCCAACCATCGCTGTGGCCTCAACATACCTCCACAGGGAGGCCATGGTGGAGTTCACTGGTTATATGAAGTAAATTATGAATCGTCTCTTTCCAAGCATGAGCTCATCCAGCAATAAGACAAGAAAATGTGCTGCTGACGTTGGGAATTAACTGGAAGAACAAGTCAAATAGTCTTTAGGATTATATTATTCATGACAAGTGAAACTGTGCATTGAAAATACACTGTATGCAGCCACCCCCCCCCACCACACACACACACACACACACACCTTGATGAAAAATCCGGATGCCACGATGCTTCCATTCATTTATCTTTAATGTCAGTTGTTGGTCAATGCACGGCTCGGCCCGATGGAGGCTCAGACTGAGAAACTAATAGAAATCAGAAGCCAGTTGTGCCAGCAGCGCCTCGGGGTGTTATTCATTTCCTTTTAACTTTCCCATTTTATGTGTTTCCCCCCTTCCCCCCAACCTTCTCTTTCTCTCTCC